GTTTCTATTCTTTGTCTCAGTGTTACAATACACCTACCATTTGATTTTTAGACTGATCATTTCTTTGTGAGTGGGCAAACATTCAAAATCAGCAGAGGATCAAATACTTATTTCCTTCACTGTAGGGTCCAGGAAAATATTACCAATTCCATTGTGGGTCTTTAAATTCAGTGTTACCTTTGTCATTACTCAAGTACAACTAAAGGCTCCCGTATGACAGTCTAAACAAATGCCAAATCCAGTTACTATGTGATGCACAAGCCTCATACAATAACTTCCTTTACCTTCTCTGGCTGAACCAAATCCACCTTCATTAGTGTCTCACACACTTCCCCTCTCAGACACTGCAGCTCACAGTGGGAGGGTTTCCGCAGATTAGAGACCGTGCTACCAATCTGGAAAGCAGTGGGCAGGACTAGGTGTGGCCAGGAGCTGACTGAGAAGTTACAGGCTTGTGAATCAGCAGTGACAATGGCGATAGCCACGCCCCCTGCAACATTTCCCATCCCTCTGTAGTGCAAGCAGGCACAACCTAGAACTCTACTTTGAATTTAGAAACAGAGCAGTATTGTTGCCATTACATCACAGGAAGCTGCATTAGGTGGACTTGCCTGGTAGGATCAATAGGTATTTGTAAGACTATGTGGGAAGACTATGGAAAAACAGTAAAAATTAAATGCTGCGGCATATACAGTATTTTTATTTATAATGGGATGTCATAGTTCTAGTTTAAGATAACAGTAATTCATGCTTTTTCTGAGTATGGGGGGTAATCTAAGCTTTCTTTTGGTACTAAGGTATTGTCTTGCAAAATTTACTTTATTTTCTATATACTCTACTGACAAATAAGACATAAAAAAATGAAACAATTACTCAATCACACTTGCAGACTAAGTTAAGTAAAATATAATCATAATCCTACAGAAATATGGGTTTACAGAGAATCAGATGAGTTGATTGAAAATGGATGAGATTGTATGAAACGCTGATTGCATACCTGGGGATTTTTAATTACTTTTTAGGAGGCTGTAGAACTGGCCATGTGTAATCACTTTTTTATTTTTAGATTTTCCTACTTTTTTAGAAGGTATTTTCCACTTTGTATAATCTAACCTAAACTTCATAGATACATAGGGGTGTATTTATAAAGCAATGAATTTGACATTTACACCCCGGTCACTTCAAACACTACTTTGAAATCATGAAGACTTACAGTGAAGTCGCACGATTCAAAGTCGGATGACATTTCAGGTGCGATTTGCAAGACGTCTGATACAGATGTCTATGCAAATCGCACCAAAAGTAGTGCATGTACTACTTTAGAAATTGGTGTGGCTCCGACCAAGTTTTCACCGCACCAATATGACCGCTGTAATTGCAGACAATAGACTGCGATTTGGCATGCAATTTGCAAGTCACATGGCATGTAAATCGCATGCCAATTCGCATCCAGTGTTACCGGGGTCGTACTGAACATTCATTGCAGGTAAATCTTTGTGATGCATGTGTTTTAAATTAGAGTGATTGATTCACCACCAGTCAGGGGCCGACTGACCATTTGAGAACTCTGGCACTGCCCGAGGGCCCAGGGTCAGTAGGGGGCCCCATGAGATGCCCCTGGTACCTTTCATTGGCTTTTTCATAGCCTTTTTTGGGTGTGGGCTAGGACACAGGGGCCCTATGATCCCCTATTGCCCGGGGGGCCCCATGAGTTGTCAGTCCGCCCCTGCCACCAGTGAATGTTTGATAAATGTCCCTATGTCAATTGGTTATATGATAAAGCTGGGCACACGTTTTAATCAGTAGTCTGCTATGTTTAGGTATAATGGGAGCACTCAGAATCTGGAAGCTGTGCATGGTAGACAAACAACTTCTAACTTCAAGCTTTGGCAATAAAACCTAGAATCTGAGTTTTAGTAAATAACCCTCACTGTCACCAACAGGGCTGTGGATAAGGGGGTATCACCTGTCCTCCTGTATGGGGCCCAGGCCAGCAGGGGGGCCCAGGTAGCTTTGTGAATCAGATGTGGGCAGGAAGGGTGATCGGTGTGTTGGGGGAGGTGGGGGGCAATTACTGGAACCAACCCCCTGCATGCCTCTCCCTGCAGCAGCTGAATACTGGCGTTTCCTCTCTCTCCCGCTAGCTTTCAGCTGCTATAGAAATAGTCATACAGGGGATCAGTTCCAGTAATTGCCTCCTGCCACACCCATCACCCTCTCTGTGCACTATACATTTCCCCCTGCTGCCCAGCCCCCCCCCCCCCCCCCCCCCACATGCCCCACAGTGCTGCTGACTTCCCTCCTCTCTTTTCCCTTGGCAGCAGCAAGCACACAAAAGGATGCTTCAGGATAGAGAGTGGGGGAAGGGTCCGGTAAATATGTCACATTTACCAGCCCTTTCCTGAATGAACACAGTGAGTGATCAGTACCAATCACTCACTGTGTTCATTCATAACTGAAGCATTGTAAACTGTGTTTTTGTTTTTTTTTTTTTGGGGGGGGCCTGTCTGGTTGGCTGTATGGATCTCTGTGGTTTCTAACAGCAGCCCTGGTCACCAAAATAAAGAAGATTGTACTGTCAGATTGTAACATTTCATTCTCGATGGCTGGAAATGATGTAGCCCCCTCATAACACTCAAATTGGTTTATTTATTTAAGTAGACCTTAAACCCTTTGAGGACCATAAGATTACGGAACACCAAAAGAATCAATTTTTTGTCTTTAAAGTTCGTACACTTCAGTTGCTGTAACTAAGCCATTTCATTAAATAATTGGCAAAAAGCTAGATCCATTTGTTGATAAGAACTAATATTTTGACTCAAACCAAAAAAAAAAAAGTATTTTAAGTTCTTAATCAGATGATACAAGCAATTAAAAACGTGGGACAAATACATCCCTTGGTCCTCAAAGGGTTAAAGCGTAACTTTATCCACAACAACTTGATCAAAAATAATGTTCTTTAGCAAGGAACATACATTCCACATTAATAAATATGCTACCTAAATGAGTGCGCTGTAAATTGCCTCCAGCATTGTTCCTGCTTCTTCTTTCTGTAGGCTGCCATTTTGCTGAAGCCCACAACCCCTGAGCAGCAGTAAGTCTTTAGGCTGTCAGCAGATCGGCTTCTACATTTTCGGCAGTGCTGAAAAACAGGCAGCAAACTGAGCATGTGCAGAACAGGGTGAGACAATGTATTACAGGATTTTAAACAGTATAAGCACTTATTTGTAATGTTTTATTTAGCTATACGTGCAAATGGGGCCAACTTGAAGTGATCTAGCAGGACCTAATATTCTGACTAAATATGTACTTTAAACCAATTTTTAAACTTAGTCTTCCACCTTCTGATCACTTCAGAATTGGACTTAAAAGAGGAACTCCACCCAAAAAGGGAAGTTCCACTTTAATCCTTTGCCCCCAGCTCCCCATTAAGGATTGTCACCTTTGGGGAGCGGGGGGGAGCAGGTACCCGAATTTGACAGGTACCCACTCCCACTTCCGCTACAATCGCCTAGGTGATCAGAAGCAGAAGTTGTCCTCCCCCCCTCCCTCCCCGTAGTCTTCTGGGACATGTGACAGGTCCCAGAAGACTTCGGGGCCATTCACAAAGTGCTGCTCTTCTCGCACATGTGCAGTGGGCACCCGGCTGTGAAGCTGCAAGCAATCACAGCCGGGTGCCCACACTAAAGATGCCGGTGCCAGGGAGAGAAAGACGGCCCGTAAAACCAGCTGTGGTGAGGACACCGCTGGACTGGGGGACAGGTAAGTGGCTGTATTTTAACAGTCAGCAGCTACAGTTTTTGTAGTTGCTGACTATTATTTATTTTTTTCCATAAAGAGGACCTTTCACCAATAGCATGTTTGCATATTTTTTTTTACCCCGTTTAGTAAATACCTTTTTTCATGTTCAGCCTCATCCGGCTTTTTTATTCTTATCCTAGACAAGGGCTTTATAGCCAGTGGTGTATTTAGGTTCCGTGCTGCCCTAGGCAACACAAAAATTGGCTCCTCTCCCCATGGAGAGACCCTGACACTGACCAACACCCCCCTCTCTACAAAGAGAGCCTGACGTTGACCAACAGCATCCCAGCCCCACTCCCACCTGAGAGAGCCTTCCACTATCACCGCCCCCCATACACTGGCAAACCCCACCCCCGCCAAGAGATAAGACACTCACCTTCACAGCTCTGGACATCCCCGGGAACAAGAGTCAAGGTCTGCAGTCACCATCAAGCAACCCGCAGCTTGTCTCAGATCCCACCTGGTCTCCATGCTGCGTGTGTCCCCTTCTTCCTTTCCTTCTTTTGGGGGATGGCACTACCCCCCAGAAAAATGCTGCCCTAGGCAAATGCCTTGTTTGCCTTGTGGTAAATACACCCCTGTATATAGCCCTCGTCCTTCCATAGCTTCCTGAGATATGATGTCATGCATCCCAGAATTCAACAATGCTGAAGTATTGAAAGATTTCACATCTGCATAGACTTTATCTGTACAGCTATGAAATCATGCAATCAACCAGCACCAATGTGCAACTGAGGCTGGCAAATTTGATAGCATCTCCTCCACAGTGCTGAGCCTGTGTGTTTTATACTGGTTTAGAGTCTATCACACCCAGCTACATAGGACGTGATAGATTATTTCACTATTTGTGTCAAACACAACAATAAATCCTAAGAGGTTCTCATCCCTTCCTAGTCAATTCTACTAAAAATGTTGTTTATATAGCTTTTTGCATCTCCGTTGGAGAGATTTCCCCTCACTTCCTGTGCTGGTGACAGAGGGACAAGTAGTGAGGGGAAAGGTTTACCTGGAGTTTGATGTTAGTAAAAAACAATATCTTCACTTGGTGCTCTTGGATGCTACTTGGCTCCTACTGTAGCATTAAAAAAATAAAAAATGTAACAGTATGAACACATTAACCACTTTCCCACCACCCTATAGCAGATATACTGCTACAGGGCTGCAGGGGTCCGCAAAATCACGTATATACTGTATACTTGATTTTGCATTTCTGGGTAGGGAGTGCACTATTCGCTGCCCCGGCTGTTAATCACCAGATCCCTGCTGACGATTACTCGCCGGCACCCGGTGGAACATTACCGACGGAGGGAGAGAACTGTATGCAAGCAATACAGTTCTCTCCCGTCAGCTCCTACACACTGCTTTGCATGGCTCTGCATAGCAGAGCCGTACAAAGCAGTGTGCTTACAGTTGAAAGCACACACACAGTAAAACAGCACGCAGTTAACCCTTTGATCGCCCCACATGTTAACATCTTCCTGCCCAGTGCCATTAGTACAGTGTCAGTGCTTTTTATTAGCACTGATCACTGTATTGGTGTCACTGTGGATGTCAGTAACATCAAGTCAGTTCCCCCAAGTGTCAAAATGCCCACCACAGTCCCGCTATAAGTCCCTGATCGTCGCCATTACTAGTAAAAATAAAAAAATAAAAATCCCAGTATATATATACCGCCATTTGTAAACGCTATAACTTTCACATAAACCAATTAATATACACGTATTGTTTTCAGCAAAGACATGTAGCAGAATACATTGTGGCCTAAATTTATGACGAAATTAGATTTTAAAATTTTTTTACTGGACATGTTTAATAGCAAAAAGTCAAAAACATTGTTTTTTTTTCTCAAAATTGACATTTTATTTTTATCAAATAAATAAATAACGCACAGGTGATCAAATACAACCAAAAGAAAGCTCTATCCGTGGGGAAAAAAAGGACGTCAATTTCATTTGGGTGCAGCGTTGCATGATCGCGCAATTGTCAATTAAAGTAAAACTATGCTGTAACGCAAAAAATAGCCTGGTCAGGAAGGGGGGGGGGGGGGGTAAATCCTTTGGAGGGAAAGCGGTTAATAATCAGGGTAAGGAAGACATGCAGGGCAGGCTTTGAGCGTATAATCCCGTGACATTTTGCCCAAGCCCTACTTTGAAGAAGGTCCAGTATTGTACATTTTGAAAATAGATTTGTTCAGCCTCATTAAAACGCAATTATCATGTTGTCAGCTGCATTTCACATATCCAGACAGGCACGGCTTATTCTAATAGAGCTCTGCGGACAGACGTAGCATGTGCTAAAAACAGAGCATCCTGCGAGCTGGAGGCTAGGCTAGGAAGGAAACATACTTTGAGACTTCGTGAAAGATTAGTGTGTTGTGACAATGTCAGATTAAGATTGGAAGGGAAATGGGGCAGCAGCAGTTGAAGACTGATCAAGCTGTTTACAGAGAGGATATGTTTCTGCTGTTCTTGACTTCCTGTGTGAATCTGTCTCAAAAATTTAAAGTAGATAGATAACAAAGACGTGACAAACTTGGACGTTCTATGTGATTCTCTTCTCTGGAAAACTGGCACTGTTTGTTCAAAGATTTGGCTATTATTGCCAAGCCAATAAATCGAATTCGAGATCAGAGAGAGGACATAATGATTTCATATAGAACAGGGGTATTGAATTAAAATTCACCGAGGTCCGGCAGTAAAATGTTCATGCATCAGAGGTCGGAATCTCATGTAGGCATTACTGTCACCTGCCCCCCCTCCATGTTACTGTCCTCAACCAATCCACTTTACAGTTCTCAGCCTCCCACTTTAATGTCCTCAGCCTCCACACACCACAATCCTTCGCCCCCCACATTACTGTAATCAGTGCCCCCCCCCCACTTTAATGTCCTCAGCCTCCACACACCACAATCCTTAGCCCCCCACATTACTGTCATCAGTGCCTCCCCCCCACTTTAATGTCCTCAGCCTCCACACACCACAATCTGTAGCCCCCCACATTACTGTCATCAGTGCCCCCCCACTTTAATGTCCTTAGCCTCCACACACCACAATCCTTAGCCCCCCACATTACTGTCATCAGTGCCCCCCCCCACTTTAATATCCTCTGCCTCCACACACCACGATCCTTAGCCCCCCACATTACTGTCATCAGTGCCTCCCCCCCACTTTAATGTCCTCAGCCTCCACACACCACAATCCTTAGCCCCCCACATTACTGTCATCAGTGCCCCCCCCCCCCACTTTAATGTCCTCAGCCTCCACACACCACAATCCTTAGCCCCCCACATTACTGTCATCAGTGCCTCCCCCCCACACTTTAATGTCCTCAGCCTCCACACACCACAATCCTTAGCCCCCCACATTACTGTCATCAGTGCCCCCCCCCCACTTTAATGTCCTCAGCCTCCACACACCACAATCCTTAGCCCCCACATTACTGTCCTCAGCGCCCCCCCCCCTACAATTTAATGCTCTCAGCCCCCCCATATCACAGCCCCTAGTGCCTCACATTTCAGGCCTCAGCTGCCCCACTGTAATTTTAATGTCCTCAACCCCCCCCCACACACTTCTCTCCTCCTCAGTCCCCCCACATTACTGTTTTCAGCCCCCCCCCAACATTACTGTTCTAAGCCCCCACAGTCAGTCCTCAGCCCCCCCCCCTATATTCAGTCTTCATCCCCCACATTCAGTCCTCAGCTCCTTTTCACATCAGCCCCCCTTCACACTAACGTCCTTAACCCCTTTAACTTTCCACCCCACCACTGTCCTACCTTACACAGACAGTGAATGACAGACAGTAATTGATTGCTAGGACTGCCCTTCATCCTAGCAACCAATCACCTGCTTGTTAACCTTGGGCAGCTCCTGCCCTCTATCCAGAACTGTCCTGCCTCCCACTGTCAGCTCTGTGAGGATGACCGCGAGACGGCTAGGGGAAGAAAAGGCTACTAAATGGCAGGACTGCATGGGTCCAGATGGGACAGTGACTTGGTCCGCATCCGGACCCCGGTCCACCATTTAGTGATACCTGATATAGAAGAATTGCTTTACTGTCCTGAAAAAGAAGATATTTACTTGTTACTGCAAATCCATAAAGCAAGATATTTATTTCTCAGTATCCTTAAAATGAACTTGTGCCCAGGTTAATAAGCAGTGAATGGTGCATTATGTAGGCTACAGTGCCAGTTATTCTTAAAGTAGAACTACAGGCAAAACAGTTTTTTTTCATTTTGAAAAGAGTAAGGGGGGGGGTTATAACCCCTGAAAGTTTTACTTTTGCCTGTGCCCATTGGGGAGATGTTCCTTCATTTCCTGTCCCATAGCCTTTTTTACTTTCACTTTCAATAAAAATGGTAAACAGGACAAATAGAGAGGGTGGATCACAATAATCACTATGTAAACAAAACTGTTATGAATGAGTTTTAGCTGTGCTTACTCTAGTGATGCTGTGATTGCCCCACAACTATCACCCAGACCAATCACAACACCCTGTACCATGTGATAGCTGTGGGTCAATCACACAATCACTGGAGTAAGCACAGCTGTTATGAATGAAATTCATTCATGACAGTTCAAACGATAGCTGTCAGGCTACTTTCACAGGAGTTTTTCAAGCGTTTTTTCCGTTAAAATAAGTGCCTGAAAAGCTCAAGAAAACTGCTTCCCTATGTATGTGAATGCATATCTATGTATGTTTTCGCACTGAGGCGTTGCACTTGCGGTGCGGTGTAAAAACTCCTGCTTGCAGCATCTTTGGGGCATGTTTGGGGAGTTTAAAAAATGCCACAAAACGCCTCTTCCAATTGAAATCAATGGAAAACGCATGAAAAATGCCTCTGAGAAGCATTTTTGGTGTAGTTTTAAGTCATGTGTCCTTTAAAAAACGCAGCAGAAACACGTCAAAAACACAGCAAAAACGCGCGGTAAAAACACCTATGTGTTTTTTAGGCTTTTTTGCTGTGGATCAGTGTGAATGTAGCCTTACAGTGACCATCACTGTAACAGCAATCACAGGGTAAAAAAAAAAATCCCTGATCACCTCCTCACTATGGTGACACTGAACTACTCGGATGACAATATCTAGAAAAAAATTGAAAAAAAATTGAAAAAAATTGTAAAAAAAAAAAAAAAAAATTTTTTTTTAAATTGAATAAAAAAGAATGTAAAGTTGTTTTTTTTTTTTTTACATACTGTCACCAGTCAGTATGGTAACAGTATGTAAAAAAAAAAAAGTTTTATTTATTTTTCTTAGTTTTCTGAAAAATTATGAGAAAAAAATTAAAACTTAAAAAAACTTGCCTTGCGTCTTACTAAATACCTGACTGTCTACTTTCCAAAAAAGAGGTCATTTGGGGGGGCATTTTTGCTGTCCTGGCTTTAAGGGCTATTAGTACATCAGGATTAATCAATTTTCAAATATATATGCCATAGTTTGTAGTAGTGGTGCACCGAAATTAAAATTCTGGTGCCGAAACTGAAAATTCAAAATGCACTTGGCCAAAAACTGAAACCGAAATGTGCAGTTTTTAAAAATGAATATATATTTTTTTGGAAAGAAATACACTTTGATAACAAAAAAACAATATATACCCAATTTTTTTTGTAAAATATGAAAGAGAGGATCTTACGGTGAGTAAATAGATACCCAACATGTCATGCTTTAAAATTGCGCATGCTCGTGGATTGGCATGAAACTGCGGTACTTAAAAATCTCCATGGGTGATGCTTTAAAAATGTTCCTCATACCTCATGTTTGTGGTTTTGAACACCATTTCCATATGTGGGCATGGCCTATGTATGCGTTCACCACTGCGAGCATGGGGGGACGGGGGCACTTTAAACTTTTTTTTAATTTCATTTGTTTTGGGGGTTTTTTTGCACTGTTCCTTTGAAAAAATCTTTAATCACTTTTATTCTTATCACAAGAAATGCATGCATCCCTTGTGATAGAAATAATTAGTGACATGTCCTCTTTATGGAGAGATATGGGGTCAAAAAGACCCCACATCTCTCCTCTGCAATGTAAAGCATTGGATCAAAAAAAAGCATTGATCTAGTGGTTTAAAAAAAAAAAATGACTGGAACCGGAAGTGACATTGCTCCAGTCCTCCAAGGGCATAGAGATGAGTGGAGGCCATCTTTCCTTCACTAATCTCTATGCCCAGAGCCAGGATCGTTCGATGGTTTCTCAGGTAAGGCTAAGAACTACCGAGCGGCGGCCTGTGGCGGCGGCGGGCAGCAGCAAAGGGGCGAGGTTTTTACGGCACATGTATCGGTGCTTTTTTTCATATCGTCCAATGGCCAAAAAGGGGTGTTTTTCGGCCGAAACGTTTCGGCCACCGGAATTTCGGTGCATCCCTAGTTTGTAGACAATATAATTAATATACACTTATTGGGATTTTTCTTTAACCAATTTATAACCTTCATCATGACCTAACATGCAGTCAGGTGGATCACCACCACCAGTGAAAAATGTTTCATTTTCAATGCCCACCTTTTTAAAGCATCCTGCTTGTCACATGGCTAGCATTTTGAATTTCCTAACCGTTCTTCCTTCTCAACTATATGTTGCTTGAGTTTGGAAGAAAGCATTGAACTGCCACCAGCAG